AGGGTGGTTCATCAAGCCTATTACAAACTAGGCCCCTTCTGTACGATAAATCAGGCAGAGAGTCTGGCCATCCTCAAATCCCTGGAGCATATTCAGAGGACAATCAATAACAGGACCAAAGAAGAAATAACAATTATTAGCGATAGCAGGGTGGCTCTTCACCAAATAAAAGCAATGAACACTAAATTCAAGCTAATAAAAGATATCATCCACATGGTGTCTAATCTGAAAAGTAATCACATCAAAGTACACTTTCATTGGACAAAAGGGCATTCTGGAGAAATAGGTAACGACAAAGCAGACTTTCTGGCAAAGAAAGCTATAAGTCATTTAAATGGTCCAACCTTCTCGCTTGTTCCCTATAACTGGGTAAAGAACCAGCTCAAAGAATTCACAATCAACAGGTGGCAAGAGAGGTGGGCCACGGAGATGACAGGCAGAGTGACCTTCAACTTTTTCCCGGACGTCAAAGGGAGGGATAAATTGAGCCACTTCAATCCTGATTTTCATATTACCCAGTACATTACTGGTCATGGTGGCTTCAAACAATATCTCAACAGGTTCTTAAACAAAGGGACCAGTATTTGTGAATGCCAGGAAGAAGATGAAACTCCAGAACACATTTTGTTTACCTGTGTCAAACACGTCACTCATTGCAAGCAGCTCAAGCATATAATGTATTTTCAGTGGTTCCACTGGCCCTGTCGAAGTCAGGACTTCCTTACTAACAACATTACAACAACTGCCTTCAAGACATTCATTCTCAAAACAAGAAACACTTTTCCCAACTTTACCTGAGGGATCACCGCAAGCCAAGATGGTCCCCCTTCTCCAGTGACAACAGACTAGCCGGCAAATATTTTACCTTTGTGTTTGTGCTCATCGCAACCTGCCTCAGCAATGCAACCAGCCTGGATAGCCTGGCAAGGTTGTACAGTTAACTTTCTTCCTTTTATACGTGCAAGCCTAGTGGTTCAGGCTACTTGTCCCTTTCTGTTCCCCTGGACCAGTATAACTAATACTAGGTCTTCAGGGTCCCCCCAAGCTGGGGTTCATGTTATATTATATTATGTTTTGTTCATTTTAAATTTTCATATACATTTGTATTCGCTAAGTTCGGTTGTTCGGTTAACTTTCTTTCTTTTATACGCGCAAGCCTAGTGGTTCGGGCTACTTGTCCCTCTTTTGTTCCCCTGGACCAGTATAACTAATACTAGGTCTTCAGGGTCCCCCCAAGCTGGAGTTCATGTTATGTTATGTTATGTTTTGTTCGGTCTAAACTGTCATGTACATTTGTATTCGCTAAGTCGCGAGTTGTCTACTGTGATCTTTGTTTAATCCGCGGTCTGTTGTACTCTACAAATTGGAGCAGTTTCATTGTTTTTCTTCAGGCATGTACCTACATTTTGTATTACATTCATTTGTGTTCCAACAAACGGAGCAGGGTGCTGGATGCTCACAAATCTCTTCTTCACACTTTCCTATCATACTTACCCCATCTTCCCCTCCCCCCTCTCTTATCCTCTTCTTACTTCTCTTCTAAGGCTAAGCCTCTGGTACGGCCTTCTTAACTTTTACAATAATAATAATAATAATAATCCACCCAAAAACAACTTCAGCAGCTCCTACAAATCACACATTCATACACCAAGGACATACAAAAGGAGTTTGGCTTAGACAAATGCAAAACACTTCACATAGAAAAAGAAATCCTGACGAAAGAAGATTTTACACTTGGAAATGGGGACATTATTGAATCCAAGGAAGAGGACGAGTTCTACAAGTATTTAGGATTCCAACAGGCCAAACTAACAGAACATACACAAATAAAGCAAAGATTAATTAAAAAATACCAAAGTAGGTTAAATGCTATACTTAGAACACAGTTAAATGCAAAACACACAGTTAAAGCAATAAACACATATGTCATCCCAGTACTCACATACTCTTTTGGAGTTATACATTGGACTCACACAGATCTCGAGCAACTCCAAAGGAAAACAAGAACAACACTTACTAAGCATAAACAACATCATCCTAAATCCGCCACAGAAAGATTAACCCTTCCACGTAAAGAAGGCGGACGTGGCCTGATTGACATAGTTAACCTTCACTACAAACAAATACAGTCACTGCGAGAGTTTTTCTACAAGAAACAAGAAACATCACAGTTACATAAAGCAGTAACTCTAGCAGACTCAAATAACACACCATTAAACTTACACTCACAACATACAGACATGACACAACATATAAAAAGCATAGACAACATTAAGCAATCATGGGCTCAAAAGGCTCTCCATGGCAGGCATCCTTACGACCTGGCCCAGGATTTTGTTGACAAAACTGCGTCAAACAGCTGGTTAGATCGGGGATGCCTCTTTGGGGAGACGGAAGGATTCATGATTGCCATACAGGATCAGGTCATAAATACTAAAAACTACAGAAAACACATACTCAAAGATACAACACTCACAAATGACACATGCAGAAAATGTCACATCATGCCAGAAACTATACAACACATCACTTCTGGTTGCAAGCTCTTGGCACAGACAGATTACTTACATAGACACAATCAAGTAGCAAATATAATACACCAAGAGCTTGCAAAGAAACACAAATTGGCAGACATCCACGAACCATACTACAAGTATATTCCACAGACAGTATTGGAAAATAACACGCACAAAATGTATTACGACAGAGCCATAATCACAGATAAAACAATTTACCACAACAGACCAGACATCACACACTCATTGACAAACACAATAAAATCACATACATTATAGACAGCCATTCCAAACACTCACAATGTACAAAACACATGCACTGAAAATATTAGCAAGTACACAGAACTCGCCCAGGAAATAAAGCATCCGTGGAGGATGGATAGGGTGCTTATTGTACCAATCGTTGTCTCCTGTACAGGTGTGATACCACACATACTACACAAAAGCCTGGGAACATTACAATTGAATAGAAATACATACATAACACTACAGAAGGCCACTATATTGAATACATGCCATATTGTTAGGAAATTCCTGAATACAGACACTGACACACTTATTTAATTTTAGCTCTTGGTTGCTATGCCTTGACTCTGGTCCGGCATAGTACACAGCCACCGGTGTGTACCGAGTATAATCCACTAAACCCAACATAATAATATATTATTGGAATATTTAGAAAGTTTTTGTAAATATAATTTTAAAAAGTTTTCAGATTTAAAGCTACTACTATTTATTCACTATTTAAGGAAGAAAAAGATGGCTAGGAATTTACCAATTTAATTGTTTTCATTTTTGTTGTATATTGTTGAATGTTATCTTGATTAACAAATTAATTGGGCATAGACTTGAACTGACTATTTCACAGTGATAAATTTAGAATCCAAGTCCCTTCTACTACTTTGGCTCTCAATAAATATCTTTAAGCCATTGAAAGAACATAAATGACTCTTAGCAACAGGGGCGCCGCTAGCTGTTTGAACGCCCGTGTGCAATACCGATTATGCCGCCCCCTGTTTAACTACGACTACCTGCGCTGAGCTTGCCAGAAAGGCTCTTTAGTGTTGTCTCATAAAGGTGTGAAAAAAGAAAAGAAATACTTTACAAAAAGAACTATTTATTATTACTAAGTTATTTTTATTTACTTAAGTGTAAAACCATATAAATATTTATCTACAGAAATTGAACTCTTCTTGCCTTCATGTTTGCGAAATCTGCTATCAATTTTCTTGTATCCAAGCTGTCTAAGATTTCATGTTCAATTGAAACTATAGCTATAAACTAAATTACTTAGTCTTTGCTGGTGCATTGTTGATCTTAAATTAATTAATTAATTAAATAGTTTTTTATAATTTTTAACTTTGAAAAGGACCTTTCACCAAATGCAACTGAAACCGGCAATGTAAGTAATATTCTTAGTGCTATTGCTGTATTTGGAACTGTTGAAATTAAGTCATTAGTAAAAAGATATTGTAATGGGGTTTGTGGATCATTAGACTGGTTTTCTGGAAAATGCAACTTTAAAGTATTGATTTCATTAAACAAATTAATACTGTCAATGTCTGTTTCACTACTTGAATCGTCCTTAAGCTTCAGATTTAAATCCTAACCAAGTTAAAATATGATTAATTATACTTCGACCCATGTCAGAAGAATTATTAACAAAATAATTGTAATTTGATATGCAATAGAACTGTTCGAATGCGTACAAGTACAAATTGAGAAGGAAGCTCTGTAGGGATTCCCTATTTTCGTCAAACCTGTCAACTTCTGTCATAGAGCACGACTATTGGTACTTGGCTTTCGGGTGCCCACCAGATGGTTCAACCTGCCGACAGACGTTTCGCATTGCATCTTAATTCTGATAAATGCCAATAGAGGCGCTGTTAACGCTATAATAATTACGTGGCCGATCGCTTGATTTGCCGCCCCCTGGACAGGCGTGCACCACCTGTGTGCGGTGCACGCCTTGCACGCCCGCTTACAGCGGGCCTGCTTAGCAATGTAAAGTTGTCCATGAGCAAAGACAGACAAAAGAAGTAGGAAAGTTATTGCAAAATGATCAGAAAATTTGTCAGATAGAGCTTTACCTGGGTCACACATTTCTTTGTAAACTTACATAGACAGATGATTCTGGCAGCTGGATGGCTGAGTGATTAAGATGTTAGTCCGCTACTCTAGGAATCTGGAATGAATCTTATCTTATCCAAGAATATTTTGGAAATAGTCTGTACAGTATATGTCAGATCCCACCCCTCATCACCTGGCCACCCAACTGTGGGCCTGATATGCTTGATAAAAAGTGGGCCTTCTTAATGCCCATATGGTGAAAAGAGTTTAAAAAAATATGCATATGAGTTATCAATAAATGTGACACTGAATTGTTGAAAAATTTTAATGTTGCAAAAAGTTTCTTATTGATTTTGTATATAAAATGATAGGGAAATTTTAGAAGTTTGGAACCGGATATCTCTAGGATGGATCATCAGATCTGTAAACAAAAAACTTACTGCACATTTGCAGACACATCCATATCTACAGACACTTAATTTGTTTAAATCTACCAAGAATTCTAGGAGTTCAGCTAACAAAAATCTTAGTATAATACACATATTTGATATGAAATTATATAAATATGTTTATGATAATTATAGTTTTAGTATATAAGATAATTAAATCAGTTTATTGTTGGTTTAATTGTAAATAGTATAGCCAAAGTATTTTGCCGAGTTTCAATATCTTTATGCAATGAAATTTATTGAAATAATTTAATGTAAACTGAGATTTGCCAATATTGTTGTATTAAATCTAAGTGTTTTTTAATTTTTAATTTTTATTGTTTAGATTTGTCTGTGCAACTCCTAATTCTCTTCATCTTAGGATACATAAAGTATTTCAAAAAAGAGCAACTACTTCCTCACTTGCTATATCTACTGTAAGTTAATTTAACTTTTGACATTAATGTTTTAGTTTTTAAATATATTATATATAGAGTGTTCCAAAAAGAATGCTACTGTTTTAAATGACTGTAATTTTCATTTTAGAATGTTCTGTATACTGTCATATTCATCAAATTAAATAAAATAAATAATTTATTTTAGATTTCTACTCAGAAAAATAAACAAATTGAAGTTGATCTTTGGATAAAAGACAATATTGGCAGGAAATTTTCTAACATATCATCTTTAGATATTCATTGGAAATTATCTGATTACACACTTGCAAAGCTTGAAAATCACAGGGATGTTATAAATGAAATTAATGGTGCTCACGGATACAAGAAAATTACCAGAAGTAAGAAAAATAAGTTTCAAAGTGAAAAAATATGTATTTTTTTGATGGAACACTATCTTTGTCTTACAGGTTATCAGATATTGAATTTAACTGGAAAAGAAGGGGTATTAAAGATCACAGCAAATGTTAAAGGTTATCAAAAGCAAATACTTAAAAATTTTAGTATTGAAGAAGTGAGTATCATTTGTTATGAATATGTTATTTGCATATTTATGAGAAATATTTTGGTTACATATAAACATATACAATATATACATGTTTCTTTAGAGAAATATAACACCAATCATTGAAAGCATTGAATTAAAATTAGTGAAGTCTGACAATCTCCAATTAGATAATCAAGTAAGAAATTTTTCAGAATTAAATCTGATCTTTTGTTTATTTATATTATTGTGTAATTTTTACTTCATTTATATATTTTTTTTTATTTATAGGAGGAATCTTGCACTAAAGACAATTGTCCTAAATTAATAACTTATCATATTTTATATTTTTAGATAATCAATAAGAACAATTTTTGTTATGAAATGTTGTTATAATAAAAGAAGAATAAATTGAAGTTAATTTTCTGAATGCTCATAATTATAAATTGTTTTAAAAATATATTTGTAATGGAAATTTTTTAAACATTTTTCTATCGTTTGTGCTATGCACTTTTCCCAAAGACAGACTTATCATAGTGGATCAAACACAGAACAGAATGACCTTGAAACATAATTTGCAGAGTAATTATATTTATTTTATAATATGTATTTTAATCTCTTCATTCTTAATAAATAGATCCGTTTTTAGAATTGTACAAATGTGTGTATACACTAGTAATTTCACAATAAAAACCTCATAACTTATATAGCCTACACGTGACAAAATTCTGCCAAACAAGTTATGTCCAAAATGCATATAAAATAAGTGGATAGAGTTACTCTACAAATTATGTGTTCAAGGTCATTCTGTTCCATGTTTAATCCACCAATAAATCCATCTTTGGGAAAAGTGCATAGTACAAAATATACAAAGCAAGACAACAGACAAAAAGCAATAAGAATAATAAAAATATATTTTTGGTTTTTTTATGATCTAATTTGAATTATATTTATAAGTTATTTTATAATTATTATGAATATTACTACGCATTAAATAAATGTATTAATAAATTAAATAATCCATTATACAATAATTTGTTAAAAATTTTTTTACAATGTTAATATAACTATTTTGGAAAATTGTACATTCATACATTGTAAATAATTTTTTATTAATGAAATAAATATAATTTTTTAAGTTAAAATCAAAGTTAAATTGATGAATGAAATATTTGCAAAATGATTAATAATATAAATATCATTTAAAAATTAACATATTTACTTATGTTTAATATTAAGTATATATGTATCAATTATTATAAAGCAGTGTTTTTCAACCTGTGGGTCGCGACCCCCGTGGGTTGTGACAAAAAAACAATTGTTTGTAGGTCCTGCACTACAATAAATAAAACTACAATTTCAGTGAGAAGGCTTTGCGTTTTTATTTTAAAGTACAATTGGTTTTTCGATCAATATTTAGGTCTCAATAGAAAGAAAATTAAATACGTAGTTTTTAAAATCACTGATATAGTTTTAATATGGCCCTGGGGGTTGCCAGAATTTTTTTAACTTGTAAAGGGGTCACATATTCAAGAAGGTTGAAAAACACTGTTATAAAGTAATTTGGCTGCAATGTCAAAAAATTGTAAACCTGTAAATTTCCACTGTCATCCCTCTATCCTTCCATAATCTTAAGAATGGTGTTAGATAAATGAAAGTCAAGACCTCAATAGGGGTAGGATACCTCAATTAACTATATATGAACTATCACTTTGGGCCAGAAGTCATGTTATTTCAATTCAAAAATTTTCTCCCGAACAGAGTTATATAAATGACTGGTATGACTTCATTGTTAACAGGAAAAGAATGACGTATAGGGGTGAAACACTAAACTTAAATGCATTGTGACAAAAAATTGCAGCTGGTATTGTGACGATGTCACAATAAAAACTGCTCGTTTATATTTCTATTTTATTATTATTATTTCTTTTCAACTCTTTCTGTCCTGTGGGGAGTAAAAGGATCTTCTTTCCAGGATGACCAGGTGGAAAGGGATGGAGCCCAACATATCTGGGACAGGTGCCCATGAAACTTTCTGGGAGTTGCCAATTTAGATTTGATCAGAGATCCCCAGAGTGGTAGGCTGATGCCTCTACTGGCTATCATCTGGTCATCATTATACTTATATTAGTTTTTAACATAAGATAAACAAATTAAATTGATTTTTTTCAACTGTGAAAATATGCTTTCTGTATGATTCCAATAAAATGAATTTTCTGAATAAACTTTTATTTTTAATTTATAATTTTCTTCTAATTTTATTAGTAACTGAGTATTTTTTGGTTTAAATAAGCTCTTATTAACATTTTTATTTTTATCAGTAGTTATAAAATTTATTTAGCTTTTTTCATTAAGCTTATCAATAACACATGTACAAGATGTGTTCAAAAAGCTCCAGAAGTGGGCATGTAAAATAAAAACCATCAAAAATATGTTTGTGTAAAATACTATCATGTAAACACATGAAACTGATTATATGTAAATTGCAAAAAATTGTATTTTTTGTAATTTACATGTGATTAGTTTTGTGTGTTTACATGATATCAATCATAGAACTATCTGACATGCACAATTGTAATACTTCTTTATTTTAAAAATCAAGCAACAAAACTTTAAAAATTTGTCATGGAAGGTTTAAAAGGACAGAGAATATACATCAAGATGTGAAAATCTTACAGAGAATAAGCTATATTAAAATCAAGACATGAAAAATGGTTTAAATTATTCAAAATTGGATGAATCACTATAACTGATCAACATAGGGAGTGACTCCAAACTAAGAGAAACAATGAAAAATGTTAAAAAAAATCTTTGATCAGTTATTAGTGTGGATAGAAGATCAATTATTTGAGAGATTGTAGAATGGCTGAAGAAGATATCATGTCATCATATTGAAAGATTTTAAAAGTTTGTGCCTTACTTTCTCTTGTGGACCCATGAAAACAACTACACATAGAAATCTTTCAGAATATGTTCAAGACATTTGATTATGACTCAGGTTGAATTGAGAACATCATTATTGGTGACAAAACTTGTGTATGCCTCTGAGAATGAAACCAAGAGACAACAAGTTTTATGGTTTCATTCAATGAGAGCCAAGCCTAGAAAAGAAAAGTGTAATACCAAACAGTCAAACATTAAGACTTTGTTGGTGACATTTTTGATTCAAAAGGTCTTTTTATTATGAATTTATTCAGCAAAACAATCAATAAACATTTTTATCTTAACATTTTATGGCAATTACATGATGCAATTTGCCTGAAATAACCTGAAAATATAGTACAGAAAATGAAAATATTTTATAAGTCCTATCCAAATATAGCCATTAAATTATTACTGATTTGATAAATCATGGAATTATTATTATTTCACGATCACCATATTCTCCCAATGTAGCTTTTAAGGACTTTCATTTCTCCAGTTTTTCAACCTTATCTAAAGAACTTTAAAAGGAAACAGTTTGAGATAAAAGAACTTGGACAAGATGAATTGAAGAAAATTTTACAATCCTTGAAAGAAGCTGATTTTCTGAATTGATGGAGGAAGTATATTGATACTCAGAATAATTATTTTAAAAAATATTAAATAAATTTCTTTATATCCTAACACGTTTTGATTTTTTGAGCCCTTCCTGAAACTTTTTGAACATATCTTGTAAATGATATTACAGTAGAACCTTGAAAACTCGGCCTAATGTGGACCGAAGGGTGGCTGAGTTTGTGAAAATGCCGGGTTATCGGGAATGGGGTTAAAAAGGATAAGTATGCGTGATTCCTCAGAAAATACTGTACTGTACTTGTATGTATTGTTTGCTTGAGAATACAACTGAGAATAAACTGCCCAAATACCCTTAAACAAAGAAAAAGTACATACTCTATGAAGGCATAGAGCCTTTACTACATGAAAATGAAAATTAATGAATTCACTGTGTACAGTAATTTACCTGATAAGACAGACCTCAGAAAAATACTTTATGAGAGCTTTTATACTTTTATAAAGCTGTCTATAATGAAAATTAATTAACTAAGGATTTTTTTGCCCTGCCAGGGTGTGGCCGAGTTATCCGGAGTGCTGGGTTATCGAGAGCCGAGTTTTCGAGGTTCTACTGTAATAAGTTTAATTAAAAAAATTAATTTCACAAACAATATATACTGCATATTTTAGTTTACAAAATATATATGGCTTATACTTGGCTTAACATCACTACAATACAGAAATGGCAGCATTGGAAATCAATGAATTGTCCCAAAATTTTTGTTTTGAATAGTCTATATTGAAAGTAAGGAGACAAAGCAAGTGGAGACCAAGGAGAAATGAAACACGGGGCGGTCAGGCCATCCCCATGGGAGGTTGAGTGAAGCAAGTGGATGTGGGCCACTTATCTACGAATTCTATTATTATTTACAAATCTGCCGATTTGTAAAATAATAAATCTGTAAATCTTTTGTTCAAAAGTTTATAGATCAAATGTATTATAAACATTTGAATAGAAAGTTTGAAAATAAATGGTTATAATTGATAAATATATAAACAAGTTGGCAAAACCATCTATTTGTAAATATATACGTAGGCTAGTGATCAATACTCTAATATGATTTTTTAACCACATAAATGCCATAAATTATATCTTTTAACAGTATTTTAATTACTCATATTTAGCATTATTTTGTTATTAACTATTTCTATTATTTGTTTTAATTAAAAGACTATATAAATGATACTTCAATGTAAAGATTTCTACACAATACATTCTTATTACCAATCAGCAGCAATTATCACATAAAAAAAAATACAAAATGAGTGAAATATTATGCATTTTGTATAATATTATGTAAAGTACAGTACAGTATATCAAAAACACAAATTAAAACCATTTAAGATAAATTTATCCAATAAATTATCTAGTGGTTTATCCAATATGGATACTGCTCAAGGCAGATTTGCAGGGTACAAAAATATATGCTTCCTGTCATTTTTCAGAAAGTATTACTCAATTATCAGTACTTTAGAATTAACTTAGGTAACTAACTTTTTACATCATTCTTTTTTCATTAGCTGTTGAAAATTGAAGCTCTTGGGGACATACAGTGATAACCCTCAGTTCTTGGCATTCTGAGGTATTCAATTATGAATAATGCAGTGCAGTGGCGTGTCATCCACTGGACTGCATTATTCATAATTGCTTCAGTGATAGGGAAGCTGTGGAAGTGCCACTTGCCTTGTATTTTCTAAAATATAAATACATATTGTGCAATTATTTTCATATTTTAACATACTTTGAATTAATTAAAATTAATAGAGAGGTTGAGGCGCACGTTTTAAACGTGTAAACGTGTACGTGTGACGTTCAGCGCCGCTTTCCCGTAAGCCTAAAAGTTTGACGATGGTGTTTGGAATGTCGAGCGTGATTCCACCGACTATCCAAACACCATTGTCAAACTTTTAGGCTTACGGAAAAGCAGCGCCGAACGTCACACGTACACGTTTACACGTTTAAAACGTGCGCCTCAACCTCTCTAATATTTTATTATAACCGCATTATGTATCT